TCGGAAGGGTCGACACCCGAGCAGGCTTCGACGAGAGAAAAGGGACGACTAAGAGCACAGGTATGCTTCCAAAATCTCCTTCTCTGTGTGTGAGTTTTTTTTTTAATTGCCCCCCTCCCCTAGCCGAATGAGAGGATCTTCGGTTTTATTTCGTGAGGGAGCAGTTACGAGAGCGGTCGTGGAACCGTTAGTGACGTCGGTCAGCGAATCGTTGTGTCTGCCAGTCGGGAGCTTCAGTCGGTTAAGCAGTTACAGTCAACAAGTATGTTCACCTATAACATCAGCTCTAATCAAGCGCCAATGAAATTCTCATCTATTTAAGTTTCAAGAAATTCTCATCTATCCAATAAAATTCCACTTTAACAATCAATAATGTAATATAACTTACTAAGATACAATTCCATTTTACTATAAAATAGAGTAAAAGCTATAAATAGTCCCTCAATTATTGATAAATGTCCAATTTAGTTCCAAAGTTTTACATTGCACCAATTTAATCCCTCATTTATTAAAAAATGAGTCAATTTAATCCTAAAGTTTAAAATAAGAGTTAAAGTTAACTCCAAATTAAATATGAAGGATATTTTAGTACTACAAGTGAATATAAGATTATATTGCTTATATTGCTCAATTTTATCATTTAATAAATTATAATACATATTTAACCTGCTACATAATAAGAGTGAATAAATAATGATTTTTTTTTTTATTTTTTAAAGTAAAATCTAACATGATAAAAATTATATTATATGATAAAAAGGGAAGCTCTAATTTTTTATTATATTTAAGTGATATAAATTTGTAGTTTTTATCTTTTTCGATTTTGCTTTATTTTTTTTTTCACTATTTATTCACACTTATTATGTAATAGATTAAATATGAGTTATAATAAAAAAGATAAAATTGAGAAATATAAGAATGTAATCTCATATTCATTTGTAGTACCTAAAATATCATTTATATTTAACTTTAGAGTTAACTTTAACTCTTATTTTTAATTTTAGGACTAATTGGTTCAATTTTTAATAGTAAATTGGAGCAATCTAAAGCTATGCGATTAAATTGAATATTTATTCATAATCGAGAGACTATTTTGAGCTTTTTATTCCTATAAAATATAAAGATGGAAAACACCATCACCAATCTAGAATTAAAATAAAAGAACATATAGTGTAGATGATACTTTGAAACTCTCATCTATTCAAGAAAATGCTGAAGGCAATATATTTGAACTACGTACCTAAATTAACATCATCAATCTCTGATCCAGAATGAGGATGAACATCCGTTGCCTCTGAATCAAATTTAATATGTATACTATTGTCTGCATTGATGTCATTTTTTGATACCCTTCTGCCATGAGATTGGGAACTTTTTCCTGAGATATGTCTTACTCCAAGATTAGAATCAGCCGCCGACCTGATTAACCAATGAAATATTTTAAAAATTGAAGTTTTCATGCTGAAGCACCTAACAAAGTTTACACTTACCTTTTCGTAGGCTTATTATTTCCTTGAGAATTATGGTCATTGCTATGATCATTTATGTCCATCGAGCTTCAGTAGCAATGAAATAAAATTAGAATTTTTTTCCCAGAAATTTTGCTGATGTACAGATTATTTAAACAAAGCTCATGATACATTATATTGTGCCATATTAACATATTACTAGTGGTAAAGCCTGGGCATGAGGACACCAGAAATGACAAGAAAATGGAGGTTGGATTTATAGCTTTAAGTAGGGTAAAAGAATGTTAAAAAAGAAACTAAATAAATCAAATATTAACAAATTGTTATGTTAAACTAATCATTAGATTCAAGAAGAAAAACGACAGGTTCATAGGGCAATGGGCAAAGACAGAGAGAGAGAGAAGGATAATTAGAAAAATTATTAAAGAGAGAATGATATGAAAAAAATAAAATACACAAAAGTACAAATAAAACATACTGGGAAAAAATTTATAAAGTTATACTGATAAATTCTGCACAATGAAAAGATGACAAAGTGCGAAAATGTAGAAGACATATTCTTAATTCTAGAAGATAGTTTTAAATAAAAATAGAAATAACACTAGGAACCATTTTTGCAATCTAGAAATAGAATTTTTTTTTTTCAAAGATTAGAGTTGGAACGAAAGTAAAACAAAAGAAATCTGAAAAAAAAAACCTTGCTAAGGTGCAACATCATCATCATAAGTGATATATCATAAAAAATGTATCTTGATCTGGCACGAATCTCGAGGCAAAAATCAAGCCAGAAACTTAAAAAATTAAATTCGGGATCACCTGAACTATGATTTCAACAAACATAAAGTCAAACTGAGCGTCTCGGAAATACGAACCCAACAACACCAAATTCGACTCAATCCGAGCCCAAATGAGTCCAAATCAAGGACCTGAAGCGTTGTTGGAAAGTTCGAACCACAATTTGAGTTACCAAACGGTTTCCAAACATGACGTGCTTATAGTCAAATCGAGCGACTCGATGAGACGAATCCAACGAGCCAAAGATCGCTAAATTCCGACATCATTAAGACCTTCAAATGCTTGACGAACGGTACACGATCAAGGGATTCAATATCGGTCGTCCATCCAACCACTCCACATTTGCCCCCGATCTTTCACCTATTTACGGGCCATGCCACTCCAGAAATCTATAAATAGACCCCTCATTTCTCTTGAGTGGGGGATCAAAGCAAGAAGAAGGAAGGAAGAATAGGAGGGAAGAAACTCCTACTCGACCAACGCCGGAATTCCGCCCGACTTCCAAAGTGACGTCGGAATTCCGTCCGTCCTTCAAGTGATGCTAGAGTTTCACCCGAACTCCAAGTGACGCCAGATTTCTATCCAACCTTCAAGTGACACTGGAGTTTCACCCGAACTCCAAGTGGCGTCGGATTTATGTCCAACCTTCAAGTGATGCTGAAGTTCCACCCGAACTCCAAGTGACGTCGGAATTCCGCCCGACCTCCAAGTGACGCCGGAATTCTGCATGACCTCTAAGTGACGCCGGAGTTTCAAGCCGGAGTTTCACCTGAACTCCAAGTGACTCTGAAGTTATGCTCAAATACCATCTAACGCCGGAGTTCTCCTCGGCCTCCAACTGACGTCAGACTTCTACCCGACGCCGGACCTCCGCTCGTCACCAAGTTTCTACCTGACGTCGAACTTCTGCATGTTGCCAGACTTTCGTCGGACATCTATATGATGCTGGATTTCTACCTGATGCCATCTTTCTGACCTTTGTTGTCAGACAACGGCCCTTCTGACCTCCGTCGCCCGCCGACTACGGTCCTTCTAACTTACGTCGCCCATCGACTATAGTCCTTCCGACCTCCGTCACCCGCCAACTACGGTCTTTCTGTCTTACGCCGCCCATCGACTACAATTCTTCCGACCTCCGTCGTCCCCTGACTACGGTCCTTCCGACCTCTGTCGCCCGCCGACTAAGGTCCTTCTGACTTACGTTGCCTACCAACTACAGTCTTTTCGACCAAACAAACACATCAACAGTGATTCTTTGTATTCACCTCATGTAATGTACTCTATAAGATGTACATCAAGCTAAGGCCTTCCCCAAGGAAGGGCCTCATTTGTAATCAACTGAAATATTAGTGGATTCATTCAAACTGGGCTAGGCCCCATGGTTTTTCTCCATTTTCAGAGGTTTTTCACATAAAAATCTTGGTGTCTCTAGTGAATGCTAGACCCTCTCTCTTATCTGATTGCGTGCCGGATTTTCTTACAACACTAAGACGTTAAACTTTATATTTCTCTACCGCCGCAAATACTCCAGGACGCAACAATAAGCTTTATCCCAACTTGGTATCATGTTTGAGTGTAGAATAACTGAATGTGGCAGTACATCTAATCGATAAAAAAAATAATAATAAATCCAAAGAATGAGGCACAGAGCCCATGATCATGTAAATTGTATCAGGAAGCGAGCAAGAGAGAATAAAAACTAGAAATGAAAATTGGATTAGCATAAGATACAACATGGCAATAATGAAGCATGTTGAAAAAATGTTCAGAACGTGTTCACAAGTGTCAAATTTAAAAAAAAAAAAAAACGTATAAGCATCTAAGAAGTTATAAGGAAAGTCAAAATAAGAAAGATACTCACAGTTGTTCATGAGACGAGGACTGCTGGCTTTTGGATCGCTGTAAGTTATCCACATGTAATAAATTAGCATTACCATAAATTTCCGTCAACTAGCAAGCAAGAAGAAGCAAAAAAGGAAAGCAATGATCAACAATAGCCATAACAATACAGTGGTCATACCTTTTTAGGTGTCCAGCCATTTGGTATAAGCTCCCATTTCTCCGTTTCTAGTCGAAGCACTTCAACATCACCATCATCATACAATATCTGCAAAGTACGCTAAAAATGTTAATGGGGTGAATTTACATGAGAGAAACTAGAACAGAGAAACGACAAGCAATAATAAGAACTGAGATAAGGGATATTAAGAACTGGTGGAAAAGAACAATAAAGGGAGAAGTTGGAGATGAAGGCTTCGTTTGAGACGGCTTTTTTATTGCTTCTTAAAGTATCTTTTTAGTACAAAAATTTAAAATTTTTACTAAAACGTTACTTTAAGAAGTAGGAAAAAAGCCGTCCCAGACAAAGCCGAAGTGAAACATACAACAATTTCTTGATTGAAATAGCAAAAACCAGCTTTTGATAAATGTTCACCCCTAAGAACTCTGACCGGATACCTTCAATTGAGGGTCAACATTTCTCATTTTATAAATTTACCTATTTGTAACTAAATTCAAGGTTATCATGTCTTAAAAAATAGCTATCTTACTCTGTCAACATGAACCAAAGATACATGATTCAGCCAAGTAAATAAAAAAAACCATGATCGAGACTGCAGAGAAAATAATTTAGCTCAATGACTGAGATCAGGCTCAGATCAAGGTGAATGATGAGCCTATTAAAGAACTGGGGAAACCTTAGATAGAGCTCGAATATATTGGGTTTCAACTGAATAGAACAGTCTATAAATAAATTGAAATGACTTTTATGTGAGAAAAATTAATTATACATGCGATTAGTTTTCTATATTACAACCTTCATATGAAAGACGAAGATTAATGATGTAATCTACAAGTTAAGAACTTAAACTAATTGGATAACTTTTTATGAAGATTAGACTGCTGATCAAACTTAATGAAGAAATAGATGACTTATAAAGCCTATACTAAAAGTAATCTACACTTTATGAAGGGGCTCAAGCTCGAGATCCGAGTGGCTGTTAGAGTGATGAGGCCGCGTGACATAGGAGAGGCTATGGAGCTTGCGCAGTTGGTGGAGAACCGAAGTATCTAGAGAGAGGAACTAGAGACAGATGCTCAGGGGGTCATACAGGATGACCAGCACTTTCTTAGCTCCTAAGGGACCAATACCAGTGATTGATGTAGGCAAGGGAGGGAGGGGGGTGTCAAATCAAATCCTAATATTTGATTTTTGACTTATCTAGCTCATTAATGTCAAGTGGAAAATTTGCTCATTATGAGCTGATTTTTAGTTCATTTATTGAACTAAAAATTAGCTCATTATTTCTTAATCTTGGCTTTTCTCCTCCCCCCCTTTTTCTTCTCATTTCTTGATGAGGTCATCGATAGGAGATTTCGGCGCGTCTATCAGAGACGACCACGGAGATCGACGGCCATGATGGAGAGCCTCTATTATTGATTTTATTTGTACTAGCAGTTTATATGTTATGCATTTATTTTCTTAGTTTTCCCATTTTACCCCTGAGGGTATTAGTTGCTCTTGTAGTCCCAAGGGGCATTTTAGACTTTTGTATCTACTTTTATTTGGAGCATATTTATATGGCCCCTTGTATCTTGTATGAGATTATTGGATTATTGAATGAAAATTGTGTTTTGTGTTCTCTTTGTGAGTGCCAAAATTTGGATCTCTTTGTGAGTTCCATTAGAGATCTCTTAGTGAGTTCTCGAAATCGTTACATGCTACCCTCATCTTCTCTACCTACATCTCCCGCATACAATACGCAACCGTGAGAAGGAGCCGAATTTTCGTGAGCAATTTTCCTCCTTGGAGCCCAACCGCCGGCCACAATAGGCCCGCCGACCGACCACCTTGCCGCCGGCCACCCTCCCTCTCCACCACTTCTCCCCTTCTCTCCCCCCAACTCATCATTGAAATTTGATTTTCACATTTCACCACTTTCCAAATTGGGAAATTCTATTTTTGGAAAGTTTTGAAATCAATCCAAAATAAAAATTACATGAGAGTGGATTTATTTTCAGATTTTCCTAGTCATCAAATCCTACTTGGAAACCCCCTTCCTCTCTCCCCCAATTCCCTCCCTCTCTAGCCATGCCGCCGGCCCCCTATGGGGAATCCCATTAATTGCTCAATTAATCCCCCCAAATCCTATTTGAAATTCAAATTAGGATTGAAATTTTCCCTCCACTCATCTTAAAACTGAAATAATTTCAGTTTTATTTTCCCTAATCCCCTCTTCCTACCGCCGGCTCTCCCATAACCTCTCCCCAATTGAAACTTTCAATTAATTCATTGATTACATTAATTGGAATTTCAAAATCCCTAATCTTTCCCTCCTAATTTCACAAAACTGAAATTAAACTTCAGTTTGTTCTCAACCAGCCCGCCCCCTCTCCTTGCTCTACCGCCGGCTCTCCTCTTCCCTATCCAAGCCGCCGCCCCACTCTCCCTCCGTTGGAGACCTTTCTTGCGGCGACCACCCGGCTCCACTTGCAAGAATGCATGGTCGAACCCGAGTGGAACTTCGGGTTTGAGTACGACAACAACGAAAGGGTCAACATCCTCCGATCACAGTTCTTCGACGTCGGCTTTGACTTCGACGACACCGTCGAAGAATACTTGGACCGGATCTTGCCGACGCTAGTAGATTCCATCGACGAACACTTCTCCGTCTACACGTGGATTATCAAAGGTCGATCTACCGTGCCCCCTCCGCCTCCGAGATCCTTCCCCACGGCGACGTTCCTTGGAACCTCCATCTCAGTGGCAACCTCGATGCTAGTCTGGACAATCTTCTGCCGATCAACCTAGTCTCCGTAGGAAAGAGAGTAAAGGTCTTAAGGTGTGAACAACTCCGTATTAATTGTGGGATTTTTATTTACTAGTCGTAGCCTTATGTTTTCCTTTGCAATTGTTTAAATAGTTTGGCTATCTTGTTGACATTTCTATGCCTAGCAAATTGAACATCATGAATTTCTTGTAATCTAATTAACTTTGATACATTATTATATAATTGGTTGAGCTAGAATTTAATTCTCTTTTAATTCTTGTGTAACTCCATCCATGCATCACATCATTTCTCTACAATTTATCTTGCCCTTTCCTCTCCCTTCTGTCTCTTGGGATGCCGTGGTTTCCTGTTGGTTTTGGTCCCTCGGTTTGCTTCTGAATTAATGTCCCGTGGTCCCCCTTTTACTGAATTTGTGGTGGCTGTTTGACTGCTGGGTTTCGTAATGTACCTGCCTGGATCCGTTGCCTTTTTCCTAATTCTTTTGCTGTGCCGTTTGGGATTTCGGTATAGTGACTGTTGGCCTTTCATTCCCTCATTTGTTTGAGTATATGAAGAGATTTTGGGGCTGTTTGTATTCCTCCTTTATGCCTATATATAGAAGATGTTTGTGGCTGTTTTAGGTGGTGAAAAATGTTATTTTTGGAGTAAGAAAACCTGAGGGTTTTTTGAAAAATGTTTGAGAGCTTTGTTCCACTTCTTCTTCTATCTCTTGGGGAGACTTGCGAGTTCTTCTCCACCCTTCGTCTTGGCTTCTAATCTCTTTCGTCTCTCCGCAAGTTTCATTCCACCTGTATCCTTCTTCTCAATGAGAGCAAGTTTAGGTTTCTTTTATAAGTTTTGTTTGAGTCATTTGTAAGCGTCTTGTAAGAGTCTTCATATTAAAAAAGAGTCTTTTAGCATTGTGTTTTTAAGTGTTCTTTTTATATGAAATGTAAGAGTTTGTTTTAAAATTTCTAAGTTATCTCTCCTTTTTAGTATAGTCATGTCGTTTTCTATTTCTTAGAAAGGTCTTGTTTTTATTATAAAAAATTTGGGTCCCTTCCCAAATTTTTGATTGCATCATTTTTTTGTTGTTTTCCTTTTTTTTTTGACAGACTCAAAAAAGACTCAAAAAAATATAATCTAAACTTAGACTCACAATAAACTCTTTGACAAACTTGACAAACGCAGACTTGACAACAACAAAACTTGACAACCAAAATAAAATTTGACGAACTACAACTTGACAAACCACAACCTAGGACTTCCTAACTTGCTATGATACCAAATTGATGCAATCAAAAATTTGGGAAGGGACCCAAATTTTTTATCACAAATATAATACTTTACTATGCAATAGAAAAGACACAAAAGGACACAAAATAGACGAATAAACTAAAAACAACAACTTTTCTTAATAATATAAAATACTTACAAACTTGACTCAAACAAGACAAGACTCTTACAAACTTGACTCAAACAAAACACCCTAAAATTGCTTACTTTTAGAAGAAGGATACAGGTGGGGGGTGGTCGCTTGCAGAGAGACGAAAGAGGTTAGAAGCCAAGACGAAGGGCGGAAAGAGCTCGCAAGATTTCATGGGGAGATGAGAAGGAGAATGGAACAAGCTCGCAAGCTTTTCCAATAAAACACGCATATTTACATTTCCAAAAATCATTCACATAACATTTCTTAAACATACACAAAACATCTCTATATATAGGCATGAGAGGGGAATACAAATAGCCACAACATTAATTTAAAAGCTTATTTAAATAGAGAATATGAAAAGCCAACAGTCAACTCCAAGAACAAAGCATCAAAGCCACAGAAAAGCCCCCAAACAGCCACGGGAAGCAGCCCAGCTAGGAACCCGAAGAGGAAGACAACGAAAACCCTAAAGGACGGCACGGAACCGAGGCACCAGGCACGGGAAAAGCCACCCATCACTGAAGACCAGCAGCCCACCGTGGGAACCAAGGATCCAAGGCACGGGAACCAAAGGGCCATCCACGGGAACCAAGGAGCCATCCACAGGAACCAAAGGGACAAATAAAAAGGGGAATGAATATAATAATTCATCAATAAATGAACTAAAAAACAGCTCATAATGAGCTAACTTTTAGCTCAAAAATTAATGAGCTAGCAAGTCCAAAAGAAGTCAAAACCAAAATATTCATTTTGTTTTGATCCCCACCCCTACCTACATTAGACTCCCCTTCTTGAGAACTCATCTCTCGATGAGTTAGCTTTGTTCTGAAGGCGTTGCATCAAGAGACACCAAGGCTTGAGATTGCTCACTTGACACCAAGACCCACAAGACAAAACTTACATGAC